CTCAGGATTGACTCTACCATCATCTTCTGCCCTGGAGTTCCACACCAGTCTCCTCCTCTTCTGTGTGCTCCCGACAGTCCCCATCTGTGTGAAGCATTAAGGACTGAGAAGCAGCCAGAAGCCAACCCCACTGCTGCTCACAAGTCAGCAGCCTCACTCTCAGATGGTGAGAGAAGGCACAAGATTCCTGGGCTAGAACGGACTGGCTCCACGGGCACTGTGGTTGGTGTTTTTGTAATCCTTTCCCCCTGAGGCCCACTGGGAACAGTGGCCCAGGTGGGTGTGACAGATACACAGTTGGACACGATGAGCCTGGGAAGCCCAACCTATGAAAGAGTCTGCAAACATTCTTGGCCCAGTTTTGCCCATGAGAGACTTTATCTTATTCGCCTGTACATTATAAAACAAAACAACAACAAAAATCTGTTCTTGGTCCCAGGGAGAGGCTGTATCTCTTACACAAGGCTGCTTGCTATCTAAGTGGCCTTGAAAAGCACTTCAAACAAAAGCTTTTCTGTCTTTTCACTGAAGTACAGAAACACAATACACCCAAGAAGAATTGTCTCCCAGGGTGAGGCACATCCCTCCCTCCTGCCTCCCCATTAGCAATAATTCTGGCTCTGGAACAAAACACAAAAGAAACATACCAATCTTCGTATTCAAAAAGCTGGAGTTTGCCCCTCCCAGTATATAACAAAGCATTAAGGCATCTAAGGTCCCATCTGTTTTCCAAGCCCAGTCTTTAGCTTCCATTTCCCCTTCCCTCCCGTGTGGATGCTAAGAGCCCAGAGTCATTTCCAGTCACAACACTGTTACTGTCTCTGCCTCTATTAACAGACTTAAAGGCTCCAGTCTTCTTCTGCAGTAGACAGCCAGCGAATCTCAGATGTTAGGTCGGGAAGGTGGCCTTTGGTGGGGGTCTGCCCTTGGGAGTGAAGTCTGGGAGTTCTGGGTTCTATAGCTGTGACTACAGGCAGAACAAGATGACCTAGAGTGATCTTGATGTGCTAATGACGAGCCGTGTGGCACCCCTCCTCCGAGGGCAGGGTCCTATCTGTTTCATGAGTACTCCTAACATGTGGGGTCTGTGTAACTTCCTTTCCCTGGTTCTTACCGTCTACCCACTTCGTCTTCATGCTACTTAATGGTGGCGAGAAGGGAGGGCTGTTGTATTTGTGGGGCTCCTGTCAGCATTTAAAAATGACAAGGAAGGAAAGGAGGACAAAGGGGACTGTCTCTAGCAGGGTTTTGCCCTATTTCCCTTTCTGGGCATCTATAGTTCTGGGAATCATAGCACGGGTTTGGCAAACTGGGAAGACAGGAGTTTTCCAAGCTTGTCATACTGTCTCCTGAGCAAAGTTGGAGCTCTGTGAACAGGGAGGACCGAGACCGATATTGAGTAAATAGCGTGCAGTGTCACTACCAAGGCACTCAGCCCACTCCCCGGTGCCAAGTGTCTTCTCACACAGAGCAGTGGGGTGAGGAGCTTGGGCACTTTTCCTGACCTGGGTTGGTCAACCCCAGAGGAAACTGGCTTTTGACAACTGCCCTGTGTGATTGCCACCTTCCAGCTTCCAGCCTGTGTGCCCTTTGGTAGCTTGAGGCTTGGAGCATGACTCATCATTCATTTTCTGAGTCTGTTAGGCCTTTCTTCCTTAGGCGCACATCCTCCTATGTGCCTGATGCCACCAGACAGTTTATCAGCCGAGTGTCCTCTTCACCAGGGCCTTGGCTGAATGTGGAGCAAAACTTCTAGTTTGGTCAGCCACTTAATACAAGGAGGCTTCTTTTCCTAGGATTGTCCATACAGTGGAATTGTAGATGCCTGGGGCATCCTGGGGGTTTGGCAATGCAGTGCTGTGGGATGAAGTCTCCCAAGGCAAGCCTCAAGGAGTGGAGAGCAGTGAGTTTGGCTTTTCGAGATCCTGCCTCCACCAGGACCTCTAAATCACAGTATTTGGCAGGGTTAAGGGCTGTAAGATAACTAGTTTTTTTTTTGTTTGTTTGTTTGTTTTTTGAGACAGCGTTTCTCTCTGTAGCTTTGGAGGCTGTCCTAGAGCTCGCCCTGTAGACCATACTGCCCTCGAACTCACAGAGATCCGCCTAGCTCTGCCTCCCAAGTGCTGGGATTTAAGGCGTGCGCCACCACCGCCCAGCCAGCCGACTAGTTTTTTGTCAACTTGACCCAAACTAGAGCCACTTGGGAAGATAGAAATTCAGCTAAGGAAGTTACTCTGTCAGCTGGCCTGTAGACATGTCTGTGGGGTATCTTCTTGAGTAATGACTGATGTAGGAGGATCCAGCTCACTGTGGTCCTGGGTTATATAAGAAAGCAGGCCGAGGAAGCATGAGGAGGAAGCCAGCAAACAACATTCCTCCGTGGTCTCTGCTTCAGTTCCTGCTTCCAGATTCTTGATTGAGTTCCTGCCTTGATTTTCCCCAATGATGAACTGTGACATAGACATGCAAGATGAAATAATCCCTTTCTCCTTCTTGTGTCTTGTAGTCATGATGTCTATCACAGCACAGAGAAATCAGGCTAGAACAGGCTGCCTTCTTAACCTAATCAAGAAGGGACATTGTAAATTCCTGCAGTCACCACGGGATGTTGCCAGGGTTGTTGGGGACAGTGGTGCCAGCATCCGCTCCCTCCTGTTAGCAAGATGGCTGGGGCACGAGCTTGGGATGGCTTGCTGCTCTGCTTTTGTGTTCCTGTCATTTCTCATTCAGCCTGCAGCTGTCACCAGCCTTCAGAATGTCTAAAGGAACAAAACCAGTGAGATTCCGTACGAGCCATGGAAATGTCCTTGAGTCAGTGACTCCAGCCTCCTGTGCATGTGGCATGTCATGTAGTACTGCTTTTTGGTCACTAAAACCTACTTCCTTCCTTCTGCTGGAAACAGCATAGATGGGAGGTCTTCACAGGTCACCCTCCCATGAGCCTCCAGGGCTGAGTTAAGGTGATGTGAACTGAGCAAGGCCTCTCACAGGTGGGACAGGCATGCCCTGCCCACAGCAATCCCAGGGCAGCAGGCTATCCCTGAAGTGCAGGCTCCTGGTTGCTAGAACTCCCCTCCCCCATCTCCTCTTGGTTTGGGGATTGAACCCAGGGCCTTATACATACTAAAGGTATGTTTTACCACTGAAGTGTACGCTCAGCCTACAGATGTCCCTAGTTTGTGTATGTGGCATACATGTGTGTGTTTGTGTACATATTTGCGGCTGGGCATGTGTGTATGGGGGCCGGATATCAACATGAGTTGTCTTTCTTAGTAGTTACTGTCCCAGAACACAAAGTTCATTAGTTCTGCTAGTCTGGCTGGCTGATGAGCTTCAGGGAGACTCCTGTCTGTCTCTCCAGTGCTGGGACTACAGACATGTGCCATAATGCTTGGCTTTTATGTGGGTGCCAGAGATCTGAACTCAGATCCATGTGCAAGCATGCTACCAACTGAGCAATTCCTCTTACCCCTTAGATTAAAAGAAGTCAGGGAACTAGATCTATATTATGTCATTCAAAATTCCAATGGATGTACCCAATTTTTTTTTTCCCCTTAAAACTGCTACGTGGACCAAACAAGCATGTGTGAAGGTCTCTGTGCCATATCTGACTTATAGGGAAGGACTGTCTTGGTCAGATCATGGAGGGGAGAGTGCTAAATGACGCTTCTTGTAAATGAAGGGACTTGCCATCTCTATCCCCTTTCCATGTGAGCTGTGCCTGCAGAGTGTTGATTGGGCAGAGTAAATGGGAGTGGTGGGTCACAGGCATGGTGAGAGTTAAGGAACTGCATGAGCACCTGATGACAGTGCTGAGAAGCAGTCACCTGCCGGGAGCTGTCACTGTGGGCGGTGACAGCTGAACTCTGCTCTTCAGCCTTTAGGCCCTCACACTGATATGCTGGATGGTGGTAATGGGGAGGAAGAAGGTCAGAGCCAAATACCTAGAGGGAGGTGCTGGCCGTCTGGGCTTATCTGGGAGTTGTTGAGTCCAGGAGGGTTGAGAACAACAGGGCTGTTAAGATTAGTGACCGAAAGTACAGAGTCCCGACATGTCAGATTTTTTATTTTTTACTTTTTCTTTTTGGTTTTTTGAAACAGGGTCTCACTACATAGCTCTGGCTGTCCTAGAACTCACTATGTAGACCATGCTGGCCTCGAACTCAGAGATCTGTGTGCCCCTGCCTCCCAAGTGCTGGGATTAAAGGCCTGTGCCACCACACCTGGCCAGGTCAGATGGTTTTGAAATGAAGAACTAGTAGCATCTAAAAATACAACCTAATACTTGGGGGTTGGTTTTTAAAACTCAATATATCTTAAACATCCAAATGTAAGGAAAAGGTTAGGTAACTATGATACATCCAATCATAGGGTTAGGGTTAGGGTGGTTATATGTCACATGAATTAAAATTATAGGCAATATTCCTGGTAGTCAGAATAATGGCCATTTGTTTGTTTAATAAGAACATATAGCAGTGCAACACACATGTAGATGAATAATAATAAGAGGAGGAAGACAAGAAAGCAGAGAGCATGGATGAGTGAACAGAATGCCAATCTTCTTACAGTTCCTTCCGCTTTACACTCTCAGAATGGATTTTCCCTAAGTTGATTTACAAATTCTCACTTGGATGTGAGCTTCATGTTCAGCTTTTTGGGTTCATAATGAAGACACTGTGTGAGTAGTCAGCATTCCTGTGTTGGTTCATGTTGTTTTTAATGACCATGCATGTATTGATAAAACAACAATAAAAACCCACTTATTATCTGAGAAGAGCAGCCATCACCGAAGGGTTAATATGGCATGTGGGTGAAACAGTGATTAAATTTTTTTTCCAGATTAAGAATGTATAACAAAACAGACACTAATTATGGCAAGAGACCCTTGGAAACTCTGGAGTATCTTCAAGGATCTTGTCCTTAGATTTTTGTGGTTTATAATGATCTCAGTATTAGTGGCCAATGACTCATAATCCAATAGGGAAGTGGAGGGGTAATGTTGGATTAATAATGACTGCTGGTGCTGTATGAGTCATTGTTTGTGTCTGCAGGTCTGGGAGTCTGAGGTCCACATCATTAAAAAAAAAAAAAGTGGGAATAGGAAGCAGAAGAGGGGAGAGTGTACCATGAGGAGTCGACCAAACCCAGGTATGTGTGAAATACTGCAAGGAAACCTGCTACTTTGGTAAGCTAGTTTTTAAAAAGATAAAATTCTTACTATACAAGTGGAGAAGAAAAAAAGGTTTAGCCACACATGACATAATATTTTAATGATATGGGGGCTGGAGAGATGGCTCCAGAGCACTGGCTGCTCTCCCAGAGGACCTGGGTTCAATTCCCAGCACCCACATGGCAGCTCACAACCCTCTGTAACTCCAGTTCCAGGGGATCCGGCACCCTCACACTGACAAATGTGCACATAAAATAAAAAAAATTAAAATAAACTATAACAATATTTTAATGATGTAAGATACAGGGCACTTACTACAAAAAAGGCATGACCAAACTGTTGTAGAGCTCCGCTTTGGACTTCAGTCACAGATGCAACAGAGCACACTGAATGCCTTTCAGATGAGGGTGTGACACACAAAGATGCCTGCCTAAGTTTTCCTGGTAAAGCAACCAGAGGTGAGTTTTCATCGGATGCCTTTCTTCACACGGTGCCTTGTCTTGTTCTCTGGAGGCTCAGGAGAAGTCCCTGCACTTCTCAGTGATCTGATGGGGGAACAGGAATGGATGGGTGAGAGGGCAGGCAGAGAAGTTTGTGGTTGTTAGAAGTGGCTGTTCTGCTCTCCGTTCCCGTCCTTCATGCTGGACATTAGGATGACGCAGCAGGGGTGAGAAGAGCGAGTATGCTCTGTATGAGGAGTGTCTCTGGGAGTATGAGCCCGTGTATGTGACACAGTAGAGATCAGAGGACAACCTTGCGTGTCCCTCATCGCCTTCCACCTGAGACGGGATGTCTGTTCCCTGCTGTACCCGCCAGCTCGCTGAGCCGTCCTGTCCTTCTCCACCCCCACCCATTCTCTCTGCAGAAACACTAAGGTTACATGGGCTCTGGTGATTTGAACTTGGATCCTCATGTTTTCAGGGCAAGCACTTTACTCACGGAGCTATCTCCTCAGTCCCAGAATGTGACTACTTAATGATGCCTAGTTTTGTTTGTTTTCTTTATTCATTTTTCATAGTGTTGAAGATCAAACCCAGAGCTTTATGGTTGCCAGACAAGGGCTTTACCATGGAGCCATACTCCAGCCCCTTTCTCTTGCTTACCTTTTTTGCACAAAAATGAAATCATTGGAGAGTAAAGTGCTGTGTGTTCTGGAGACCGAGGGAGGAAAGGAAGGTGGAGTGATAGATAGAATCGTCTTACGGTTGGATGTGGTCGAAATAAAGGGCAATAGTAACAGCCTGTAATGTTTGGAGTGTCTTGAACAGCCCTGACCAATAACTCAAAAGCAGGCTTCTCATGCCTGGTGTAGGTTTTTTGTTAGGTCTTTGATTCTCCAAGAAAGCATTGCCAACCCAGATGAGAGAATTTCATATAAACCATATATGTAGGTAGATCATTAATAGTGTGATTGCTTATGACTTTTTCAGGCATTCTCAATGTTTTATTTTACTCTCCTTTCCTTTCTCTGTTTTCCTCATAACTAGAGCCCCCCATTTTTCCATTTTCTCAATCAGATCATATGTACCTGCTATTTCTCTTACTTCCTCCATCCTGAACCCTAACAATGGTATCTTTTTCCTTTCCTGACTTTTGTAGTTACTCCATAACATGTACTCACATCTGAAGATTTGGAGCTAGGAGCCTCCAATAATTGAGAACATGTGACATTTGTCTTTCTGGGTCTGGGTTTCCTCCCTCAGTATGATCTTTTCTAGTTCCATCCTGTAAAGTTCATGATTTGATTTTAATTTACAGGTGAGCGGTACTTCATAGTGTATCTGCATCACACTTTTATTATCCATTTGTCAGTTGAAGGCCATTTACATTGTTTCCATTTCCTAGCTATTGTGAGTAGAGCACATGGCTGAGCAAGTGTCTGGAGTAGGATGTACAGCCCTTTGCCTATGCCTAGGAGTGGTACAGCTGGCTCATATGGTAGATTCAATTGGAGCTTTTGGAGAAGTCTCCACATTGGCTTCCATAGTGGCTGTGCCAGTTTGTAACCCACCAACAGAGAATGAGGGTTCCCTTTCCCCTGAATCCTTTCCAGCATTTGTTACCAGCGGTTGTGTTGAGCTTTGCCATTCTGACAGGGATAAAATGGAATCTCAAAGTTGTTTTGATTTACGTTCCCTAATTGCTAGGAGTGAGGAACATTCTTTAAGATATTTCTTAGTCTTCTTTTTTTTTTTTTTCTTTTGAGAACTTCCTGTTTGGGCCTCAGGCCCATTTTCCCAATGAGTCTGTTTTTGTTTTCACTCTGTGATTTGAGTTCTTTATATATTTTGGATATTAGTCCTGTCGCATGTACAGCCAGCACAGGCCCTCTCCATTCTGTGGGCTTCCTCATCACGTAGTTGTTTCTTTAGCTGTGCAGGAGCTCTTCAGTTTCGTGAAGTCCCACTTGTCCATTGTCCAGAAGGTCCTTTCCTACCCTATGTAATGTAAGGGGACTATTGTCCATGTTTTCTTCTAGCTGTTTCAGGTTTCATGTTTAGGTCTTTGATCCATTTTGATGCAAGGTGATAGTTTTTGTGCAAGATGATAGATACGGGTCTATTTTAATTCTTCTATACATGGACATCCAGTTTTCCCAGCACCATTTGTTGAAGACGCTTTCTTTTCTCCAGTTTATATTTTTGTCAAATATTAAGTGAGACTGAAGTATAAGATGGGTATTTTGATCGGGATTGCATCAAATATGGAAACAGCTTTGAGTAAAATGGCCATCTTCACAACCTATGAGCATGAGATGGCTTACCATTGTCTAATATCTTTATCTCTTTCTTCAGAGCTCTAAATTTTTCATTGTAGAGGTCCCTCCCTTTCTTGGTTAGATTTATTCCTAGATATTTTATCTGCTCTGAGAATATTGTGAGTGGAAGTGTGTTTATGATCTTCTCTGTATGTCTGTTGTTGGTGTATAAAAATATATTGATTTGTGCAAGTTGATTCTGTATCCTGTAATATTGCTAAATTTTTAAAAATTGTTTCTAGAAGTTTTCTGATAGAATTTTTGGATCACTAATGTATAATGTCATACCATCTGCAAAATGGGATAGTTTGGCTTCTTCTTTTCTTGTTGGTATCCTTTTAATTACCTTCTCTAGTTCTACTACTCCAGCTAGTGCTTTGAGCACAGTACTGAAAAGGAGAAGGGACTTTTTTATGACTGACTTCAGTGGAATTGCTTCAAATTGTTCCTCCATTTAGGATGATGTTGGCTGTGGGTTTCTCATATATAGCTTTTTATGGTGATATTTTATTTGTACTGAAATGTGATTTTATTTGTATGTTAATAAATAAAGTTGCCCGGGGGTCAGAGCTATTAGCAAGCCATAGCGAAAGCTGGGCGTTGGTGGTGCATGCCTTTAATCCCAGTACTTGGTAGGCAGAGCTAGGCAGATCTCTGTATGTTCAAGGATACATCCAGCATTGGAGACACACGCCTTCAATCTCAATACCAACCATAGAGGACCTGGAGGTCTGTACAGACAGGCAGTGACCAGGCGGTCATGTGGTTGGGTTTACAACCAATGAGAAGGCAGAACAGAAAGTCTTTATAAAGACAGACACACAAGAAGTAGGTCTCTTTCGGAGAGGTAGGACCACTGCGAGAGGAAGGGTAAGGTTTTTAGCTCTTAGCTTTGACCTCTTGGCTTTCTTCTTTGCATTGGTTCTGTGTTTCTTATTGAATAAGATGGTTACTTCAACAGCTTTTCTTATGTTGAGGTGTTCCCTCTAGTCCTATATGCTATATGACTTTTATCATGAAGGCATGATGGATTTTGCAAAAGGCTCTTTCTTTTCTTTCTTCCTTTTTAAAGATTTATTTATTTATTATATATGCAGTGTTCTGTTTGCATGTATCCCTGCCCACCAGAAGAGGGCACCAGATCTCATGACAGATTGTTTTGAGTCACCATGTGGTTGCTGGAAACTGAACTCAGGATCTCTGGAAGAGCAGCCAGTGCTCTTAACCTCTGAGCCATCTCTCCAGCCCCTAAAGCTTTTTATCTATTAAGATGATCATGTGATTTTTGTCTTTAAGTCCATCTAAGTGTTTTTTTAAATATATATTTTTATTTTATAATTAACTTAATTTCACATATCAGCCACGGATTCCCCCGTCCTCCCTCCTCCCATCCCCTAGCCCTCCCCTCCAATTCACCCCCCCATTCCCATCTCCTCCAAGGCAAGGTCTCCCATGGGGAGTCAGTCCAGCCTGGTAGACTCAGCTGAGACAGGTCCAGTCTCCTCCTCCCTACACCAAGGCTGAACAAAGTGTCCCAGCATAGGCCCCAGGCTCCAAAAAGTCAGCCCATGCACCAAGAACAGGTCTCAGCTCCACTGTCTAGGGGCCTCCCAAACAGTTCAAGCTAATCAACTGTCTCACTTATCCAGAGGGCCTGGTCCAGTTCCATGGGGGCTCTTCAGCCATTGGTTCACAGTTCATGTATTTCCACTAGTTTGGCTATTTGTCCCTGTGCTTTTTCCAATCATGGTCTCAATATCTCTCACTCATACAATCCCTCCTCTCTCTCAATTGGACTCTCGGAGCTCCACCTGGGGCTCAGCCGTGAATCTCTGCATCTGATTCTATCAGACACTGAATGAGAGTTCTATCATGACAGCCAGGGTGTTTGGCCATCCCATCACCAGAGCAGGTCAGCTGAGGCACTCTCTTGAACATTGCCAGTAGTCTACAGTGGAGGTATCTTTGTGGATTTCTGGGGACCTCTCTAGCACTCTGCTTCTTCCTATTCCCCTGGGGACTTCATTCATCATGGTATCTCCCTCCCTGTTCTCCTACTCTGCTCCAAAGACCTCAACATAGATCCAGTTACTCAACCTGATAGAAGAGAAAGTAGGAAGTAGTCTTGAACGCATTGGCACTGA